TCTTTAGCAGAAAGGAGGCAAAAATCCTATTCCCTTTTGGATATTTGCAAAAGTCTTTTCATAACCTCATGTTGCATTTATTAGCTGTTTTGATTAAGACAGTATTTTCGTACAGCAGAATTGTAGCATCTTCTCAGGGGCAGCTGTGATTTTTCTCCAAAAGATGTTCTATTGTGTTTTTTTTTTTTTTGCTAAGCAGGGATATGTGGAATGTAGCTCAAAGCTTTAATGTAGAAACCTCAGTTTGCATACTTCTTTAGCTATTGTAACAGCACAGTTCATGCAAATAAGCATTGCGCAGTTAAATTAGGAAACCTTGAGCCAGATTACAAATTTCTGATGATGATGCTGTGCAATTCGAAAGATTATTGTCCTTGTAAGACTATTAGCATATTTCAAAACCTTATTTTAATGGACTAACTTTCATTCTCCATCCAACCTGTGATGCAGTGATGAACTGTGAATTTTTCCTTTGTTTATGGTGAGGATGTTTCTGAAAAAAAAGTATGTATTATATGGTTTATCACAGTTAATGGAAGTGGGGAGCAGATGTGGGACAATTGTTTAATGTACATATGATGCTTGATTCTCTGTAATTGATGCAAGAAGAGTTTAATGCTCACGATTGTGTGTGTGTGACTGTCTGATTGATTTATGTTTTGCCTCTATTGTTTATTTCATTTAAATAGCTTGAGGTTATAGTATTTATTATAGTTTGAAATATAATTAGTGTCATCTGTCCCAACTTCAATACATTCACATCAGAGATGACAGTAGGTTTCCTTTATTTTTATTTTTTAAGTGAATGTGAAAAAGTAATTATGTATTTTTGGGATGTATATTTTTGTAATTTTCCAGAGGCAACTCTTTAACATTTAAATTGACTGTAGTACTACAATTTATATTGTCAATAATTAATGAAAATAATTAATTTTTGTGAATCTAATTTTTTAGCTTTATTTTTCTGAGTTCAATATGAACATTTGTCACACGGATGTGTTCATATACCTTATTAAATTGTGTCCTGTACTATTATTATTATCATTATCCCTATAATTATTTATTATATGCCAAATATATATTTTTTTCCCCGTTTTATTATTATTTTTTACTTATAGGGGTTGTCTATATTTATTTCATTTAGACTAAAGGATCCGTCGCATAAATCGAATGACTAAACTCTAGTTCTGTTTGGTTGTATAATTCTTTGTACATCTCACAGTTCAGGTTACGGGAACCCAAGCGACCTCCATTGACCTTCAAGCAAATGCCCTTTTAATTTGTGCTCGCTCTTTCAAACCTGCTTCATTTTTACGTAGTGATTGACAGGTAAACAGGCCAATAGTCATTTAGCTTCGGATTTGTCGAGCTGAAAATAGGAGGGCTTACAGCGGAACGTCGTATGAGGAGTCTGACTCGTTTCCATGAATCGGTTCTTTTGAACAGCTCGTCTGAATGAACTCGCTGAGGAATTCTTGACGTAATTTCGTCATCGCCGTGCAGAACTTTTTTCCATTACATTTTATAAATGAGGGTGTTTTAGTTTTAGATTTGTTGCAGCCATAATGCAACATAGCGTCAAAATGTATGCATATAATTGACTTGACAGCTCGAACCGATTATTACATGAACCATTCAGTCCGACTCGTAGACGAGTAGATGAGACTGGTTTTGTGAAGCGATTCAACTGATTCATTGAGAAGATCCGACTCTGAAAGAATGAATCATTCACAAAACAGACATGGTTAGGACACGCGGTTTTGTAACCTGGAGAACCGTCCTCTGTGAAGCTCAGCGTGAGTTGTCATTGATTCATTGTTATTGAGCTTATTTTCTAATAAATCCGCAGCACCCCTTAGGCATACCTCAGCTAGAAATATTACTTAAAAAAAAAAATCTAAACAGCACTTAAATTTCCAATAGCTGTAGTGTCTCAAGAATAACAAATAACATGTGGCGTTTAGCTTTCAAGCTAATTTGTCAATGAATTACGTGTGTTGAATTTTAATCTGGATGCTTAACGAAACAGCAGCAGCTCCTAATCGTACAAATCCAGTTGTTTAGTAAGTTCCTTTATGCAAAAGACCTTCAAAGACTCTTTACGGCTTGCTGCGTAAACATGACATGCATGTTGTTTATCGTTCACAAATGGAAACTACAGACTTTAGACCGAAACTAATGATTACATACTATTATTTTAGTGAATAATCTGTTAACATGTTCTCCTCCTCTAATCTCATCTGTCCTGTTTAAGAATGGGCAGTGTGTTGGCTGCCAGTGCACCCAGCCCACCTGCACCAGGGCCAGGTGGACCAGGTTTGGTGTCAGTACCACCAGGATTCACGATGCCCTCCGTCTCACCCGTCTCTGTGCCTGGCAGCTCTTCACCTGAGCGCCAGGAGTCTGAGCCTCCTCTTCCAAACCCTGGTGGCTTTGAAGAATGCCATCGCAAGTGCAAAGGTAAGAAAATAATTACTCTTTTAAGAAGCAATCAAAATTATGAACAAAGTCATTTATATATATATATATATATATATATATATATACACATATCTATGATAACATTTACATTAACGGCTGATGTATACTGAAAAATGTATTACAAAAAAAAATCAGCAAATTATAATACAGCAGTTAAATTAGTAGTAGTATTAGTAGTAGTATCATTATTATTTATTTTTATTTCGTTTTATTTTAATCTTTCTTTAAATTTAAATGAGACATAAATTAGAATTTTATATCCTGCTTCCTCAGTTAAAATTCAATTCAAATTCAGGAATTCCATTGGAATTTAAAAGCCATTCTCAATTCAGCTGTATCTTGTATGACGTTACTTTGAATGTTCATAATTACAAATTCAAATGTTTTTACACTAATGTCTGTTTGTCCCTCAGAGGTGTTTCCTGTGCAGATGGAGGGTGTTAGACTAACAGTGAGCAAAGCTTTGAGCAACCACTTCCAGGTCAGTCCAGTGTGTTTACTGGTGGATTTTCTTGAGCCATGTTGTTGAAGAAAGTATTCTCGATCGTCATCAAGATCATCTCATTTTATTTCATAGGTCAGCCACACAGTGTTGCTAAGCACTCAAGGAGATTCCAGTTACAGGTTTGGAGCTACTTATGTGGGGACCAAACAAGCAGGACCAGCAGAGGTAAAAAGGCTGCTGAAAAGTCTATTTAATTTGAAAAAGGAACTTGTGCCATTTATCCAAATATTTATAGTTTCCTTAATATTTTTATCAGGCCTTTCCCGTCATGGTGGGTGACATGGACAACACAGGGAGCTTAAATGCACAGATTATTCATCAGATCACAGACAGAGTGCGCTCGAAATTTGCCTTCCAGGTGTGTATTTGTGTGTGTGTTATTGTTTTGATTAGTTATGATGTAATACTAATGCATTGCTGGACATACTTGTCTCAATCAGACTCAGCAGCAGAAGTTTGTGAACTGGCAAGGAGATGCTGAATTCAAAGGGGAAGATTTCACTGCCACTGTGACCTTTGGCAACCCAGACGTCTTGGTTGGTTCTGGTAATTGTCTTCGGTTTCATCCATGTTTATTTGTGCCGCAATTTGAGGTTTATTTTAGTAGCTTTATTTGTTTTTAGTCATGCCATGTCCCTTCTTCAGTTAACTCATCCAACTTATTTTTCTCTCTGGTTCTCTCACCTCCTGTCCCTTCACATCTTTCTCAGGAATTGTTGTAGCTCATTATCTCCAGTCTGTCACTCCGTCGCTGGCATTAGGGGGGGAGCTGGTGTATCACCGACGGCCCGGAGAGGAGGGAACAGTCATGTCTCTGGCGGGCCGATATACAGGTAAACACGTATAAAGAAAGAGTAGTAGATCGATATGTGACTGCATCCAATTTTCATGTCACTATAATTCAGTCTTTTTATCACAGTGATGAATTACATTACAAATTATGTTAAACAGATACACAAGTGTTGTCCTCTTTGGCTACATCCACATTAATCTAGATAAACACGTCTTTTTCTCTATGTATTGGCCTTTTGTCCACACCGAGATAGTGTTTTGTCCAGAGAAAACAACTTTTTGAAGGCACTCTCCAAGGTGGATACATTAGAAAACACAGTTTATAGGGTAGTGTGAACTGTGATAACAGGTATTCGAAAACTACGGCGCCTGTTTAGTCATGTAAAACATATTGCACCCATAGATATCTATTGATGTAACTGCATTGATGTGCCTGTTACTCGCTTTAATAATGTTGCGAAAGATAAATGTTACTTCGTACAATCTTCATATTACATTGCTGCAAGGCTGACAGAATATTTACTCTTGATTGCTGTCCTTTGGTAAAAGATGATGACAGTTGCATTTTAAGTATTATAGATATTCTGATTCTGATTAATATGGATGTAGCCTTAATAAAGTTTAATAACTCTTTTTCAAATAACAAAAAGAACCTTTTAAATACAAAAAAACAATACACAATAAAAATGTATGAAGTAAACTGATGTTTCAGACAGATTTATGTGCAACTATAAAGAACAATAGTAAAGAATCGGAACATTTTTAACCTATATCTAGACAGCTTTTCTGGTCTGACGTGTTTTAGCCCAGATTAAGACGTAAAAATGTATAAGCTAAGTGAATGTTCCAAAATAAACATTGTCTGTAAGTATGAATACAGAATTTTCTAAATCTGAATGGGTATTTACAAACAGGCAGCAACTTTATCGCCACACTGACGCTAGGAGGAGCTGGAACTCATGGGTCATATTACCACAAAGCCAATGATCAGGTAAATGTTCATCAGCAGAATGAGTCATGTCTGTATTTGTTCATTTATTGCTTTATAATGACATTTGTTTTGTTGTTTGGTATTAGTTGCAGGTTGGTGTGGAGTTTGAAGCGAGCACCCGTACGCAGGACACTAGTGTATCATTTGGATACCAGCTGGACGTCCCCAAAGCTGATCTGGTCTTTAAAGGTTGGTGTAAACACATAAATATGCATGCATGTGTAGATACAGACAGCATTCATTAACATCTCATCATTTTGTATGGTTATGATGAATCAGCAATTGCATTTGTTGTTATATTTCACAATCTATCCTCAACCAGGCCTTGATGATTTTTTCATAAGGAGCATGTGTGTTCCTCATTTAACATTAGGAGCGCAATAAAATGTATTAAGTACTTAGTTTTTCCCTAAAGGGATACAAGGAGGAATTTACAAGCAAAATTATTTAATTTATTTAAATGCAAAAAGTACACTAGATTTTTTAAATATTTTTGCTGTATTTATTTAATAACCATGGAATTATGCATATTTAAATTGTATTAAATGCCAGATTCAGTTTGTGTAACTGAAAAAAAAAACAATAATAACCAAATAAAATGTAAATGAAATATGCAGTTGTTCATTGATTGTGAACTGCTCTGGAATGGCGAGCCTGTAGAACACTCAACATTTTTAATGTGAACCGTGCAGTACTCAAATATTGATGCAATTATAACATAGCCTTTTTACATTTTTTAATAATCACTTTTATGCCGTGCCACATTTCCTGTTTTCTGGCCCCAAATTTAAGTCCTTTTAAAATGGTAAGTAAGACTGTTGTACCATTTAAAATATGAGTTTTTATAACCATAAATTTGAAAAGAAAAAATAATGGACCCGCAGGGACCTACTTTTTATTCGCACACATACTCATAAATACATTTTCCAGTTCACATAAAAATCTATTTTTAGTCACAAATGTGTCTGTGTCATCGTCCATTGAGCAGCATTTCAATTCAGTCTTCTTAGTTGACATTTGTACACTAATAGAGTGTTGTCTTTACCTCTAGTCATTCCAAAGATTGTTGCCAGATATTCCAATGAAAATCCACCCTAGAAACCTCAAAGACCTTTTTAAAAACAAAAAAAACCTGTAATTGCAATTTGCATGAGATTTCATTGGTTATGGGATAAACATTGGTTTACTGAATTTTTCACTCTTTCTGTAGGTTCTTTAGACAGTAACTGGGTGGTTGGAGCTATGCTTGAAAAAAAGCTGCAGCCTCTGCCTCTGTCACTGGCCCTCTGTGCTTTCCTTAACCAAAGAAAAAACAAGTTCCAGTGTGGGTTTGGCATCACCATTGGTTAAACTTACCTTCTTTCTTGGTTAATGCTGCAGTTTACACACCAGTGCCATTGCTGGTGAAAAGGTAAAGTTTGGACACACTTGCATATTTATCCACGCCTGTGTAAAATCAGTCCGTAAATATGAAGCAAAACAAAGTAATATTTGTTCTAAGTTCCATGTATCAGACCACCCTTTTTGTTATTCTTGTAATGTAAGCAAAAAGCAATGATAATTCCAATATCTAAAAAAGTAAATTTAAAGAACATCACGACTGCCTGATGCATTATAAGAGAAACCAAGAAGAAATACACATACACAAATTCACCTTTCATTTTGTTGTTTATTCACATTCATTTTTTTTTTTTCATTTATTTGTCTATCAAACTGAGATGCATGTTTATTAATGTATTTTTGTTGGTGTAAAAAAAAAAAAAAAAGTTTTTTCCCCCTAATGAATTTGTCTGATACGCTGTTGCATAGTTGAAAAAAAACCAAAAAAGATTAAATTCATGTTACATTCTATTACATAATCCCAAATCTATGATATTGCCCACATTGTTATAGTTTTTTCCCCACCACATGCAGTGCCTTCATAAACACTTTATAAATATGTATATTGCGTATTGCCTAATAACATCTGCACACCAAGTATTAAAATAGTTTGTGTATGATTAAAAGTATAAAAAATATAAAAGTCTAATTGGACATATTGAATGGTTATAATATTGTGTCTGTAGCGATATGACTGCTTTACTTACATTATCACAGACAGTAATTTTTTATTTATTTTTTACATTGACCCTGTCCGGTTTTTAATTTTATTTTTTTGTAGTTTAGTTTTTTAGTTAGGTGAATACATGCCAGAAAATAATATAGAAAAATAAAAAATACTAAACGGATTAGTTGTCCCATGTCCCTCACTTCCTCCGCCTTAGTGATTGTGTTCAGCTGATATCAGGCTCTTTTAAATGCAGATAAGTGTGAAAAAGAGGCCAACGTCCAGAAGGATACTCTTTAATACCTGACTCATCAATCATCGTTACAACAACCTTATGTTAATACGTGCAGACAAACATGCAAAGACAAACGTACCTCTGCACTTTACAGATCTGCAGATGAATGATTGTGAGAGAGTACTGTTAGTTTACGTTTTGTCCATATGAAATGTTATTTCATTGGGACTATATTAATGCTCAATTTATTTTTCTTTTACCAAACCACAATTTTATTTAAAAATATTAAAATGTAATAATATTACCATGTAGTATGCATAATATGAAAACAACTAAGTTTTCCCTTTCAATTCTACAGTAATTTTAGTTCATTATTATTAAAATGTGACGATTTTAGAACAGATGACTTGAGTAACAGTGATGTTAAATGCACAGCATATTTTCTGCATTGGAATGCAGCCATAATTTCAATTGGATCAATATGACAGAAGCTCAGGGGTCAGTGCTCCCCTCGAACTGATTGATAAGCGCAGATGCAAACAGTCTTGATGACTTGATGGCGCTTTTGTGTAATTGGATGAATGCTTAGACAAGATGGCGAGTGATGTACAATGCTGCTTAAAGTAACCTTTTACCTCACTGACACACCGCTGATTTCTTCTTTCAAGACTGTGTCTCTCAAACCAATAAACACATCAGTTTAAAATTAAATCAAGATTGTGGTGCGGTGTTTGTTCTTTAATTTACTCTAACAGAGCAGAGCTTGCTGAAATGTCATATATAAATGCGCTTGAAAGGGCAAGCCCATGCCCATCAACATTTCACATGCAGTTTAATAACTTGGTCACAAAAATAATCTTTACAAAAAGTAAATCAAGTCAAGATACTGCAGATCCCGTAGTAACCTTGTGCTGTTGTTTTCCCATTAATCATTTCCTTATAGTTTTTCCTTCATTGCTTAAGGAAAAAAATATTTAAAACTGTAAACACTCACTGTTTAACAAGAGTTACAAATCTTTTTTAACATTCAGTAGTTGAATGTGGACTTCATTTTAAAAAGTACAGTAATAATAATACATTTTATTTGTAATGCACCTTTCTTAATACTCAAAGCGCTACAACGTGTACAAACAAAATAAGTCAACCAAAACTACAAATATCAAAAATAAAATCATAGTAATAGTCATAAATTAAAAGCTTCACTAAAAAGATACGTCTTAAGAAGTTTCATAAAACAATCCAAGGAAGCAGCATTCCTAATAAACACGGGTAATGCATTCCATAACTTAGGTGCGTTATAGGAAAAAGCCCTCCCCCCCATGGTTTTTAATTTACAACGAGGTTGATACAAGGAAAAACAACCAGCAGAGCTGAGAGAGCGAGAAGGTGTGGAAAGAGTTACCAAGTCACAAATCTGGAGCCAGCCCATGCACTCCTTTATATGTTAAAATCAGAGTTTTAAAATCAATACGTGATTGAACCGGGAGCCAATGAAGTTGCTGGAGCACTGGGGTAATGTGATGGCATGAGGATGTATAAGTCAAAACTTGCACAGCTGAGTTTTGAATATATTGTAGTCTCTTAACGGAACTTGCTGGTAAACCCCCAAAGCGAGAACTGCAATAATCGAGCCATGATGTGATAAAGGCATGAATAAGCCTCTCAGCATCAGGCCTAGAAAGAAAGGGTCTAATGCGAGCAATGTTACGAAGATGGAAAAAAGCAACTTTAGTTATGTTTTTGAAGTGAGAATTAAAAGTCCACTGAGCATCAAAATCACACCCAAATTACACACCTGAGCAGGAGATATTTGGGTATTGTCAACTGAAAGTTTAAAATTATTGAATTTATTAACATTAGATAGAGTGCCAATTAATAACATTTCAGTTTTAGAACAATTTAGTTTTAGAAAGTTTTGTTTCATCCACGCCTTCATTTCCAGCAAACAGGCAGAAAGAGTTAAAGAGGAAGAAGTGGAATGAGGCTGAGTGCTAATATAAATCTGGGTATCGTCCGCGTAACAATGATAGCCCAGGCCATACTTCTGAATAATCTGCCCAAGAGGCAGCATGTAAATACTAAATAGAACAGACCCCTGAGGGACACCCTGACATAAAGTTGCAGTCTGAGATCTATTAGTACCCAGGTAAACAAACTGAGAATGTTCTGAAAGATCAGATTTAAACCAGTTCAACACAGTTCCAGATAGACCAATCCATCTATGTAGTCTGTCCAGTAATATGCTATGACATATCGTATCAAATGCAGCACTAAGATCTAACAGAACCAAAATGCCACAAGCCCCAGAATCAGCTACACGAAGGTCATTCAAGACCCTACCTAAAGCAGTGCTAATATAAATCTGGGTATCGTCCGCGTAACAATGATAGCCCAGGCCATACTTCTGAATAATCTGCCCAAGAGGCAGCATGTAAATACTAAATAGAACAGACCCCTGAGGGACACCCTGACATAAAGTTGCAGTCTGAGATCTATTAGTACCCAGGTAAACAAACTGAGAATGTTCTGAAAGATCAGATTTAAACCAGTTCAACACAGTTCCAGATAGACCAATCCATCTATGTAGTCTGTCCAGTAATATGCTATGACATATCGTATCAAATGCAGCACTAAGATCTAACAGAACCAAAATGCCACAAGCCCCAGAATCAGCTATAATAAGAAGGTCATTCAAGACTCTAACTAAAGCAGTCCCCGTGCTATGTCCAGACCTAAACCCAGATTGAAAAGTCTTTAGTAGGCTATTCATGTAAAGATGAGTTTGGAGTTGGCTAACAACCACCCGCTCAAGGACTTTTGCCAGGAATGATAAATTAGAAATTGGCCGATAGTTGGACATCTCAGCAATATCACTCCCAGGCTTTTTTAGAACCGGTGTAACTGCTGCCATTTTTAAAGCAGGAGAAACAATCCCTTCACTAAGTGAGACATTGACAATGGTGGTGATGTATTTTTCAATACAGTAGTAGGGAAAGGATCCAGTATACAAGTAGTTGAGTTCATTGACAAAAGTTTAGACATAAAATCAGAATCAACAACATTGAAACTTGAGAAAACATAGTCAGAGAGATTTGGAGGATGCAACTCAACAAATTCAGAAGCAAGATCACCGGCAATAGAATTATAGATATTCTCAATTTTAGATGAAAAGTAATTAAGAAACTCGTTACACTGCTCAGTCGTGGAACAGGTAATGTTACTAGGAGGTTTAATACGATTATTAACTGCTCTAAACAGAACTCTGGGATTAGAGTTGTCACTGCTAATAATTGTAGAATAATATGCCATTTTTGCAGTTTTGAGAGCATTGTGGTATTCAATCTGATGCTGATCAATCACTGATCTATGAACTGTTAAGACCGTTTTTTTTGTATCTCTGCTCTAACTGCCTGCCTTTAGCTTTCATACAACGTAACTCAGATGTATAACCAAGGAGATGATCTCTTGAAAGAAACAACACGTTTTTTCAGAGGGGCAACCTCATCCAGAATAGATGCGAAAGCAGCATTATATTGGTCAACCGAGGCCACAACCGGTAAGTCACCAATATTAAGACTACGATGGTCAAGATCAATATCACTAATTTTCCTAAAACTAATTTTCCTAATTTTCCAGTTTATGACAGAACTCTGCATGCACAGGAAAACCTATTGCTAATAAATGTGGCTTGTGAGAATGTTACTGTACTTATGGTGTAGATGCAGAATATAGAGACTAATAAATGTTATCTCATTCTGTATACAAATATTTTATATATTATATGTTTGTTTTTTTCTTTAATTACATAGCTTTTTATTTTTATTTGTTTCATATTTGCCGGTAGCGAAAATTATTTTCCTTAAATTTCTGTACATTTTCTCAAAAAGAAAAAAAAATCTGTAAACACAAAATCGAAATATTACTCATCATTTAACTGTCTATATTGTGTCCACCATGTTCTTTTTGTAAAAATCCCTGAAACATGTTTTATTCGATTTTGCGGTGTTTAACCCTGTGAGAAACCGTTTTTATTCAGTTAACACTTTGGAAGAAATTTAACAAATTAAACCAAATATAATTTTAGAATTTTTAGTAAAAAAAGCACTTTAATTTAAATAATTAACAATAAAATGTTCCTAACACGAAAATAGTCATGGGAGCTGGCATGGTGTTAAAAAACAAAAAAAAAAATTTTTTTTCAAAACAATACTTTAAAAACAACCAAAAGTGTATATCCAAGAATTGTTTAAAATTTGATATTATTCCTTTTCCTGTATATACTGTAATGCATCTAGATTACAGTTTTATGTTTTGAAGTTTTACAGGATTAAATTCTAAGACTTTATACAGTACTTACATCTGACTCTGTATGAATAATTGTGAGTCACAGATCTGAGTTCAGTTCAGTTCAG